AGGGAGGGAGGGAGGGAGGGAGGGAGGGAGAGAAAGAGAACGTAGGCAGTGGACTTGTCCAGAAGATAAGCGTATAAAATTGTATGCCCGATATTATTCATTCATTCATTCTTTCATTCATTCATTCATCCATCCATTCATTCATTCATAAGTAAGTAAGTAAATGGGCCCACTGTGGATTGCAAAGACCACACGCGGCTTCATCAAACACAGGTCAGATACTTAATAATCGTTGGTGTCTTACCTTGTGCCCGAGATCACACAAACATCAGTTGACGAGGTATCTTCTTCTTCTTCTTCATGTGCCAGATCTGAAACAGACATCAGAGGTTAAGGTTAGTGACACAGTTCTCTACTCCGACTCTAAAAAAACAACTATACTATCCTTTTCAACTATCTGTTCAAACTCTCCAAGTGAGTTATTCTTGGTCGACATCTGTCTCTTTTGCCTTCTATTTTTTCAATAAGAACAAGGTGTTCAAGATCTTTATGATAATTCAAGATCCTAGGAATTGCATATGTTTCTTCCTAATCGTTTTTACAACTGACAGCCTGCCTCACACTTCATTGATTCAGTACAGCATGTTATTACGCTAAAGATTATTATTCCACAATCGCCCAAATCAATTTCTGGAGGTTTCCATATACAAACATTCTTCTTTTTCAATAAAAAAGAAGACGTCAAGGGGCTTCTAACAATAATATCAGTTCGTTCTTTTTTGTTGTTTCCTTCCAAGCTTTTAAATTGAAAAATAACGAGTGCCCAAATCATTGACTACCCCTCCCCCCCCCCTCCCCAACTACTTCCCACAAGTTCTTCCATTATATTTCTGAAGCGTTTTACCAAGAAAATTCCAATTTTCGTCTACTGAAAAAAAAAAGGTATGAACATTACTAAACAGGAAGATATATTCTCCACTTTCGAATGAGAGTAAATGATTGGGTTTCCTTATCTAGGTTTACATCGGAAATGGACTTTGGTGGATAGGTATTATTTTTTAGGGGGTTTTCTTTTCTTTCGATCTTTTTTTTCTGTCTGACTTGCTTCTTCCCGGCACTAAAAGGCCAGTTTCCGTGTCGAAATGCTTATCTCATTTTTCTTTTTACTCAAACGAAAGAAAATGGATTTTACTTCTGAAGCTCGGCTCAGAAACAACTTGACGGAATTATTGTGAAAGAGCTGTAAAGTACATAAGTACGGCATGTGCCATGCTATACAAAGCACTATCTGCGCTGACGTTATGAAAACCAACATCCCACCAGGCAGCCTTCAGTGCCACACTCACTGCAACTGCAAGGGGAAAACTACCACCATATTGAATAATGAAATTGTCGGGGTTACGGATCGGCTCCAACAGGCGCTATCGGCAGGATTTTATTGCCCAGACGCTGGGGGTTCCTGCGGCTCCTGTTGTGACCGCCCACTTGAAGGCAGCAGAGGGAGGAGGTCGTACCCAAGATAGGCAAAAGGAGGGAATTCTGTTTTGTTTTGGCTCTGCCACGCTTGTGGTTTATCGTTTCTTCGGGTGAAAATAAATTAGGGAATGGGGAAATGAGGAGGTTTTTTGGGAGAGATGAAGAGAGAAAGAGAGAACGATAAAAAGTGAGAATGTAAAGGGGGAGAGAGATTGCGGC